GGATAAATTGAATCAGTTGTTATATAAAGGTCATTGACTTATTTATGAAATTGATGCATATTGTTATTTGTTCAGACTGCAAATGCAGACTTCCATACATGCTCTCATGGGAGTATAAAAATCATTCAAAAATACATTCCCTGTTTAGGATGCATGAGGTATCTTAAGGAATAAAAGTAGCCTTTGGAGAGTGTGCTACCAAGCTCAGACTTGAGAACTGTTCCAGCACGGCTTAAGTACAATAGGAATTTCAGACTCAATTTATTCCCTTTTCTTTGGATTACAGCACAAATCTTAAAGCACTGACAGCAGCTTCACACACACACACACACACAAATATCCCTTGCCTCAAAGGAATTAAACATACACATGCTTCCCTCAAGTTTTGTCAGAATCTATTTGTTGTTTTCTTAAGAGGTTCCCCTTCTCACACCCTTTCTGGTTCCAATAAAAGTCCCATTTGGCCTTTACCAAAGAGCAATTCTCATAGTACTTGGGATTAATTATTTTTTTCCCCCTCCCCAGAGTTCTTAAAAAGCAAAGAGCATTAGGGACCCCAAGTATTGTCTTTGCAATGTGAACACCTCTTCAGCTTGTTATGTTTCTTACTGCTAACAGCTCCTCCCAGTACAAAAAACACGCTTAATTTTGGTTCAAATTGGCAATTATTTTTGAATTATTTCTGAATCGAATTATGCTGTTTCAAATGTGACCCTCTGAGTTTTTGCCTATATTCAGGCTTTAATCACCAAATTCCATCAGATTTCTTCCTCCTCTTCCATTCTCTCAGTGTCATGTTGATGCTAATTAACCATTCCAAAATTAAAAATGGGTTTCTTTCCCAGCTGGTCACCTCACTTGTATTTCTCTTCCAATCGTGCAGGTAGACTGAAAGGAAGCCAGAAGTATTCTTCCATAAATCTCCTCAGTAGGGCTCATGAACTCACTCCAGCCCTCTCTGTTCTAGGACCCTTGTGCTCTTCCAGTTTTAGAAGATGGATATAGTCAGACATACACCTACCACAAGAATTTTCACATCCTCCAGCAAGCATGCAAACCAAGAAGTTGCACAAGACCAATGCACAAATCTCGATGACCCCACTAATAAATATATTCAAGAAATTAACGACAGGTTTCTTCAGCTACACTATAACCCTATGTGTCCAAAGGTCTCGGCCCCATGTTCAGAAAATGTACAGAAGTCTAGGACAAAGGTAATCGCATTTAGAGCCATCACCAAAAGAAACGGCCATTACAACAGAGAACGCACATAGGTTTTATCAGATATAAGTGCATTTACACGTTTAGTATTGTAAGTTCCATACACTTGAAAGTTCAGAGTCGTAGTGGGGAGAGAAGAATATTAACATCTGGCATGCAGTGCTGACTATACTGTGTGAGCTTCAAGAACAGAATGCCAAGCAGCCATATCTTTTAATTTTTGAAGTTAATCATCAGGACATTAGGACTCAACACCTTCCCATAGTCCAAGAGGTAGGACATGACTTGAAGGAGAAATAAGACCAAAGTTGGCAGCTATACTACGACACAATACAAGCCCCAACTTCAACCACAGTTCACTTCACTTACGTGGTTGAGAGGGTTTTTTAGGTTCTCAAGTCTACCGCAGAGCTATCTTACTGTAATCTGAAAAAGTAACAGCATGGCATGAACACCAAAAATGTTCCTGTCCACCATCGCCTCACTCTCAGTTATGTAAAACCAAATGAGAAACCCAAATACAAGTTATTTTATAAAACTCTGCTGACATGACTAGATATAGACTGAGCAATACATTATGGCTTTAAGCCACTGGCTATGGTGCACAGGGAGTGTTCGGAGAAGAACTAGCCCAGTGGGAGTTCCCAGAAGCCCTGCACATCAGGCAGGCACAAATCACACCTAGGAGATCAGGAGGAACGTGATCACCATGGCAGTCTTTGAAAGTGTTCAGCATGTGCTCCCCTGGGTGTGGGCAGCACTGCTGGACCGGGGGAAGCCCCAATCTACCCCTTTCTGTCCCTTTATGAGGAGGCTAGCATCACCTTGAGAGCTAGTCTCACAGCATGCTTGGGTTTCTTGACTGTGATTGCCTCCAGCTCTGAGCCAGGGCACAGAGTGAGTTGGATATGAATGATCCTTGCACAGACAAAGCCAGGGCAACTTTAGCCCTGAGTAGAGTAGGTGTATTCTGTTGCACTGGAAATGCTGATACGTGCCATGACTGCAAGTAAGGCATGAATTTCACTCCTCATGGGGAAATATTGCCATACTCCATGCACCATTTTACTCTGGACTGGTACCTCTGACATTTGGTGGAACATATTATCCCCATTTGCAGATGCTAGCTACATTGGAAAGGATCATTTACTTCTCCTTTCTGCTCTTTATCAAGATTAACTACATGCCTGCTTTGGGTTGTTTTTTTCTGGACTATTGTTTGAGGAAGGGTGGAGAGAATGTTGAATGACGTGGTGATTGAGGAGCTTGCAGTGTGTTCCCTCAAGATAACAGAAAAAGGAGTAAAAACCCTTTGTGTATCCCTGGCCTGTATCATTCAGGAAGTTCTCTCTGGTGAATGCAAAATGCTCACAGAAGCACTTGGGAAGACATTCGTTTGAAAGGACGATTTTGCCGTGTTTAAATACAAATTTTCCACAGCAAATTTAATATTTCCTCTTGGCCCAAATAAAACATGGATTAAAATGCACCATGTAATGTAAATTGACTTTTCCTCATTTGGGGCCAATTCCAATGGCAAACCACCCAATGATTTCAGGAGCAGCAGGTTTGGTTCTATTGTTTACATGACAGCTTCAAATTTTTAATACAGTATACTGTGACTGGTGCTTATTGTACAAAATAGAATCTCTCCACTGTTACCTTTCTTCCTTGCCCCCGCAAGCCCACAACTAGTCTATCGTCACTTGTCTCCAATCATATGCTTAGACTGCAAGCTCTCTGCTGCAGATACTTTTTTTGTATTACATACACTTACAGCATCTAGCATATTGGGGACCTGATTCCCTGATGGATCCTCTAAGCACTAGTGTAACACAAACTAATAATGATGATAATGGTAATAATTTGAAAAAGTGTCTCTGGAGCTTTGGGCTAAGGATAAACCCAAGTTCCTAAATTCAGGTCTAGATGCAAAACTTCAAAGTTGGAAGATACATGGATCAATTCAGGGCCATCTTTACTTTGAAGAATGTGGTCCTTTTCTGACACAGACCTTCAAGGACTTGTTTACAGTTAATGATACTATTTCATGATTATAAAGTGTAATCTATCAATTGGTATTTATTTACAGTAAATTAATCCTCAGAGTAAAAGTCCCTACTAGGGACAGACATTTGAGGGAGTGTACCCGAAGGAGTAAGCATTTGTGCTTAGGATCCAGAACTGTTTGCTATAGTTTGCTCACTGTTTTGATTAACAAAATGAAAATAAACTCCATGTTGAAGTTGCTGCAGTTTCAAAATTTTACTCAGTGACTCACAAAGAAAGAAGTCCGTACACAAACATGCTCTAGGCAGGTTTGTAGCTAGAAAAGCACTGATGCCATACTGCAGATCAGACAAGATTGACTAATTTTGAAAATAAATGAACTTTTCTCACCTCTCCCAGACGGGAGATATAACTTGCTAGTAAAGAACTTCTTCAGACATTAGTATGGACAAATAGTAACATAATAAATGTGCTATTCCACGAAGACTTTTAGAATCCAAATGCCAGAGATCTCACCATCCTTCCTTACAATTTGGATCCGGCTTTCTTGTTCTCTCCTAATGCAACCCAGCATAAAAGAAAACATACTCCAAACCTTCTTTCAGTCCAATATAACTCTGTCTACCCTTTGAAACTTTACAGCTTTGTCCTTCAGGCTTCACATCCCCAATAACGCCCCTGAGGATTCCAAAGACTGGGAACAGCATGCAGGCATGTGTGGAGGAGGTATATCATCTCAGGCCGTATGTCTGCTGCTTTGCACTGACCACAGTTCTTCTCCATTTAAGTCTCAGCTGCTCTAGGAATTCTCCCCCTCAAGAATCCCAGAGCTGACGGTACATCAGACAGATCTGAATGGCTCAGTGTCAGGGCCCAGTCAGAGCCACAAACCATGAATGAGTTTTTATGGGATCATTAAAAGGCATTGCCAGTGTGGTTGGGGTCCCAGGAAAGATAAAGGGAGATGAGGAGCCTAAGGGATTAGTTATCACCCTCTCCACAGACCCTCAGCCCAAGAACAAAACATGGTCACCCTTTGGTCCACAGTGAAATACTCCCTGATCACCTATCCTCACCAAATGTACAAGTTCTTTTTATAAAACACACCTCCTCTAATATCTCCAGAAATGGGCAGAGGGAGTAGTACTGAAGGTTTAAACAAAAAATAAAAGGTTCAGAATTTCACACTCATCACCCCTCAGACAGGGCTGACTGCCATTTCAAAAAGTACTGTTTCCTATGGCATGGTACTGCAGTGCAAACTCTAATGTGACGGTGAAGCACTTGCAGCAGTACCCCAGTTGTTGCAGCTCTAACAGATACCTGCTTCCAAAATTGTAGTTTGAATTACCAAGTGTGGCTTTAATAATCCTATGCAGATCAGAGCAAATTTCTTTTTTCTGGGGCCAGATTCTGCCATCTTACACTGAGTAACATCTTACCCCATGAATAGTCCCATTGGTCTTGCAGAATAAGGTACTACTAACGGACTTCAGGTGGTGGTGGTGGGGGGGGGGGGGGAAATCAGGCCAGCAGAGAACAGGCGATTGCTTAAAACCATGTGTTTGGATCAGAGTTTGGTTCAAGGCCCTTTATTTCTGTATTTATCCCTCTCTGACCAGCTCCTTGCCTACTGTTCAAAGGCATGGACTGATATGCGAGGGCACTCTTTCTAGTTTATCATCGGTACTTCAGGAGCAGAGGCATGTGGTGTGTGTTGGTCAGACCTATGACAACTAAGGTAACTTATAAGAAACAACACTTCTTACCTTTCATCCCAAACTTGGAGTGTCTTCCAAATTTCAGAATAATGAGCATTATCACTAGGCCAGTGCACACTAATGCTGCAATCCCCACCACAACATACACCTAAAAGAGACGGCAAGAACAGTTCAATCTGTTGCATGATGATGAAATGTCTTCAAAAGCAATCAACATTTATTCAGAATAATCAAACTAGGGAAAGTTTTCTTTAAAAGGGAAAAAAAAGAGACAATCAGATCTAAGAGCACAGAGGGGACCATTATGTAGGCTCTCTCCCACCCTGCAGAGAACAGAGACTGCATGCCATCCACCCCTGCAGCCCTATGGAGCTTTATCAGAACAGATAATACAGCCTGAGGCGCGACTACCTTTGACACAGTGTACCCCTGGGGCACAGCCACTGACAAGGAAACCAGAACCAAAGCCACTGTGCAGCACAGAGCCTCTTCACAGATGGACCCGTCCTCTCACAGACCCCTCCGGATTCTGCAGATTATGAGATGGTCCTGGCTGTCCACAAGTCCCACAAGGGACAGTGTGGGGATAGAGGAGGGGAGGGGCTCTCTGAAGTAATGCTCATGGAGATTTGTTGCCCCAGACCCACACCTACAGGTCTGAACTTCAGCTCCTACTTTGGGCCTTGATGTCCCTAACTGACAGGAACAGAATGGGGGAACTGATTTGAGATCACTCCCACTGGCCCATATCTATTGTTAATAGTTTTTTTAAAATCCTGAACTTCTTTCCTCCTTCAATTCTATCTCCTGAGCTATTCCTGAATATTTAATTTTTTTTAAAAAAACCCTGTATGTACTGAAGCAATATCTAGTTTGTAGCTCCTGCCCACCCACCACTTTCTAGTCTTCCATAGCTCACAATTCTCCCTCCCATTCATGTATCATGTATGCATGCACAAGGTGCAATTCTTCACTGCCTTCTATCTTGTGAAGTAATTTACACTAAATGTTAAGCAGTCAGAATGACAGTGCTTTACATTCACTTTGTGCAGGTATAAATGATTACACAGAGGTAAGGAAGTAGACAGTCAGGCCCACTGAATTAGCTGTTTCTACTAAAAATCTCCATGTTATCCTTTAATGACAACCCCATGAAAAATGGTGCTAAAATACAGAATTCTAATTTGATTTTTCGTTATAACATGACTTCACTACGAGCGGCAGTTGACTACCGGATTTATAAATCCGGTGAGAGAGCCTTTCAAATTACCTTGAATTTTAAGGATGTGAAAATCTCTTACTTTGTAAATAAAATTACTGTATTTTAGGTCCTACGAAAAACAACAACATGGCACGACAGATCATCTCTAAGAGTTGGTCAGAAAAGTAATACAAGTTAAGGATCCACTTTATTCAGATGAAAAGTCACTCACTCTTCCCCCCCACACCCATTTTTTGAAAAGGGCATCTTGAACAATTCTAGCAACAGCTCTGGTACACTGTTAGTTTAGTGTCCCATCACAGCTTCATCAGTTCTATAGTCAGAAAGTCTGCCAAGATTACAAACCAGGAAACAATGTATATACTTACAGTGATGCTATCTTCATTCTCTTTGTTGGAAACATCCGTAGAAGTGATTTGATTACTGTTATTCGTGGTGTCCCCAATATCATTAGGTGTGGTTTCATAATCTTAGGGAGGGGGGAAAAAAGGTTGTCATCATTATTTCAGTTACTATAATACTGCAATGTTTGAAACATTTGAGACTCTTGAGTTCCTTGTAAAAGATGAATTGTTTCTATTGTATCAGCTGAGCATTCTGTTGGGAGATCTACAAAGCCAAAAGCTTCATTTGCTCCAGACGGTGTTTTTTAACCGTGTAAGTTTTGCTTATGTAAAACTTCAGAGAATGGATCTACGCTGTAATATATACTACCGAGGGAAGCCAGAGTTAAAAGTTAAGGAAGGACTTTTACTATGAACCTGGTTTTGGGTGCTTGTGACTAAAAACCAAAGACTGCCCTCAAGATTGAACTGTTTTAGCCTTATGCTCAGCCAAAGCCCAAAGAGGCGGCTTTTTAAAAAAATTAGTTTGGAGACTTCTGGGGTATGTCTACACTACAGCTGGAACTGAGCCTCCCAGCCCAGATAAATAAACTTTTGCTAGCTTGGCTCAAACTAGCATGCTAAAAATAGCAGTATGGATGTTCCAGCTCCAGCGAAGACTGAGATAAGAACCCAAGCTTACATCCAGGGGGTCAGGTGGGCTTGAGAGCCTGAGCTGTCACACATGCTGCAACATCTATCCTGCTATTTTTAGCACACTCTAGTGCAAGTTGGTCTATCCAGGCTAGGGGTAGAGACAGGGGGACCACTCCTAATTGTAGTGTAGAATTATCCTGCGATTTATTTTTGAGATTTTGGCAAAAGCCCATTTAGCTAGCTTTGAGTTATCAAAGTGTGAAGGGACAGATCGTCTCATGTCAAAAAAATTTAAACACATTATTCTGTGTACTTGGATAACTCAAGAACATTTTAGGTTCCAAATTGCTAACTTGCCATAGACTTAATCCTGAAAAAGTTTTCGCGCCAGACATTTCTTAAATTAATTTCTTCAGATGTGATGGACCACACCCTACTCTTAGTTCCAATGGATAAATCCAGAATAACTCTACTGAAAGAGGACTTTGGCCCAACAAAGTTATAATTATTAGAAAACTGCACAATGGATTTATCAAATGCAGGATTTTCCACCAGCATTATTCCAAGATAACAAGGACTAAATACAAAACAAATGCAAAGCTGCATCTATTTCTAGGATTACATACTAAAATGTGTGTGCACGTGAGAGAGAAACATTCAAATAAAATGTAATCAGTACAGTTGTTGCAATTGTAATTCTAGTGTGATTATTTAAATGTACAGTCAGTCCATCACAATTGTTTTTCCAATTTATATTTTGTTTAAATCAAGAAGAAATGTCAATGCCAAAAGTCTATAAATGGAATTTGAAAGTGGGGTAGGATCATTAGTGCTGTTTCTGTCCTCAAAACTGCCACAAGGGAGGGGAGAATCTGCACTCTAATACACCTATCTTCGCCTGGCGCTCAGTGCCATTTTGGAGAGGTTAGCTGGGAACACTGGCAACATGCTGCATGCGCACGTTCAGTTTTCATGCATGAGCGCGTGCACACACACTTCCTTGCTGCAGAGCATCCTGCATCTCATCTATGGCCATTATTTGGGGGCTGGGTTCTTTGGTACTGTAACATCTACATGGCTCTCCCTGTCACCAGCTCAACATCTGGTTATTTTGATATAAAGCAGCCCAGCCAGACCACGTTGACTCTCCTAGGTCTGCACTATAATAGGCCAAAGGCCAGGATTTAGTCCAGCTGTAATAGATAATACCCATTCTGCATGCAAAGTGGCTCACTTAGGGCTTGGCTACACTTGCGAGTTAGAGCGCATTAAAGCAGCACTGGGTGCCCTAACTCACAACCCGTCCACACTGGCAAGGCACTTAGAGCACCTGGACTCTGCAGCTGGAGCCCTCCTGGTAATCCACCTCCACAAGAAGCAGAACGCTTGGTGCTGTCTCGGCTGAAAAGCCCCAGCAACAGTGTGAACGAGGTGTTGCATAACTGTGCTCTGATTGGCCTCCAGAAACATCCCATAATCCCCTTAAATCAAGTGGCCACTCTTGTCATTGTTTGGAATTGGCTGCAGGAATGCAGATATGCCCTTTCAAAGCTCTGTTTCTGACAGCCGGCTGTTTATCTGCTCTGGAACAAAGCAACTGTTAGTGTGGAATGTTGCTTGAGAGGCAGGGGGAGGGGGATCTGCTGCTGTCTGAATTTACAAGACAGCATGCTGACATGCTCTCCCCCCCCCACATAGACACAACACACTCCCTGTCACACTCCACCCCACCCCTCCCCCATTTGAAAAGCACGTTGCAGCCACTTGCATGCTGGGATGGCTACCACAATACACTGCTCTCTGTGGCCACTGCAAGAGCTGCTAATGTGGCCATGCCAGTGCGCTTGAATCGGACAGTGTGGACACACGGCAGCGCTTTCTCTACTGCGCTCTCTGAGGGCTGGTTTAACTCACAGCACTCTACATCTGCAACTGTAGCCATACCCTTACAGTGCTTTCAGGAGACTCACTGTAATTTCCTGACTTTAACATTTAAAACCTCAACCATAATGTTGCCTTAAGGTGATTTCCCCTCCATGCCCTTCTCTACAGCTACATATCTGCAGCAGGCATCAAACTGTAGAGAAAGGCAAGGGGACAGCATTCTTCATATTACACCGACTACACCTTGGCCCTGCCTGCATTCCCCATCTGCGCAAGCAATATGGCATTCAAGAGGTGCTGTGGAGGCTGGCAGTTAATGTCACTAACACTTTTGTCCTGCCACATTACAAAGTGGTGGGGGTGTTTGACCTACCCCTTCTGAAAACAGTACCTAAATCTGTTGCTGCATGAAAAGTCTAAGTGTACTTAGGTTCTTGTGGCTATAGCAGCTGGCTTTCTCTAGAAGTGAAATTGTTGGCAATGCCTTTATTATGGAAGCTTTACCCCTTTTATTCTTCTAGTTTTATTGCAGGGGCCACTTTAATTTCTTGGATCTGTTTTCATAATACAAGAACTAATCACAATGGCAAGGTAAAATACACATTCACAGATACCAAAATATATCACAATATGACCATCAGATTTTCAGAGGGACAAATTTTGTCCTTAATTACCTGCGGGTACCCAAGGGCAGAATTTGGCGAGCAATATTTGCCAATAAAGTTTACCCTTCTACATATCAGAAGGCCTGCAAAAGTGTATCTTGAGGGACTTATCAGAAGTATGTATGTTGTTCCATGTGCACTTACATTTACTCTGACTCACCCACTGAGTTGGACTTTGAAACTTTAGGACTTGATTCTTCACTGCCCTGTAACATTTGCAGTCATTTACCAGTGCAAAGTGTCAGCATAAAATGAGCACACTCTTTGCAAACCTAATAGAACCATTTTGTGACACTGCAGTGGGTGGGGTTTTATCTGGCATACTTCCTTGTCTACCCCACAGACATGTTGGGAAGATTAACTATTTAAAGAATTAATGTTTGTGCAGTGCTCTGAACATGTAAAATGGTATGTAAATGCCAAATATTATTGCCAAAAAGACATCCTGTATTCCAAGTTCTAACCTTTGGATAGTAAGCATTTGTTTTAAAAACATTTAATGGAAAGGCTGGGGACTACCATATGCAACACAGAGCTAAATCCAGAGGGATGGACCACATCCCACAAAGGGCTTTCTCCACACAAAATCCTCAGCCCCACCCAGCCAGTCTGCCTGGCTCAACCACTAACACAAGGCCCAGGGAGGAGTAGCGTAAGTGTCCCACTTTGCCTCTCATTGGTAGACCTTGATCTGGCAAGCCTATGAAGTGCTGTCTCACTAGTCACCCGCACCAAAACCACAGTCTGACTATCAGAGAGAGAGCTGCAAAAACCTATCACAAATCTCTGAGGCATGCAGGGGTGTGTGGAGATACTCTTAGGTTTTTTTTAACTGAAAATATTTTCCATTCCATCTCCTGGTTAGTCCCTCTACTCCATGTTATTTCAGTAGGGTTAAGAGGTGTCCCTTTTGCATCTTGCTCAACTATCCCTATTATTAGCTTTCAAATTTACATCTACCAATCTGTAGTTTAATATCATCCCCATATGGTGGTCTCTCTCTCTCCCCCCTCCATCACATATCCAAGTGTCAGTATATGCCTACTCCTTCCTGAAGAGCCTAATCCTGTGAGCCACTGAGTACCCAGTCATCCATTGAAGTTAACGGGAGTTGATAGCACTCAGAAACTTACAGAAGGTGTTTAGTACCTTGCAGGAGCAAGCTCTCAGAATCTGACTTTTTGTACAAACTTTTTTCCTTTTACTGCTACTGTGACCCAGGAATCAATTAGTGCCAACTGGAAAGGGGCAGAGAGGGGATGATAGGGGATTCCTGTTATCCCCTGAGTCTGGTATTTACATTCTAGTAAAGAGGGTAATGTGAGGTCTTTAATTAAAAAAAAAAAAAAGCCTGTCTGGTCATCAATATCATTGTGAAATGTATGTACAGACACTATATAAAGAGTTATGTATATGTACTGAAAATTATGTTCATAAGGTATGCAACCAACAAAAGTGAAAACTGATTGTCAGACAAGAGATGTTTATCCTAGCTGTTTACATGTAAGAATGCTAATGGTTGCCCCTGCTAAGTCAAATGCTAACAAAGAGCTGCCAGAGACTTCAGAAAGAAACTAATAAGAAGAGAAAAATAGCCCAGAGGTGAGGGAAGAGACCCCCGTCTAGAGGTGCACAAAGATTTGCTTGAGCATATTGGAGCGGGAAAAGGATATGCCTAGTCATCCCTCAAGTAGGAAGCAAATGGACAGCAAAATTACTTCATGAAAGTGGGATCTCCCCCAGACTTTGTTGAAAACACTAGCAAAAACTTTGAGTGAGATAAGCTTCTTTAGACAAGCGGGTAACTTGCTAGTTAAATTTAGGGTCCAAAGAGCAAGTTATGATTTTGTTTTATATGTAGCCATTTGTTCCCAATATTCTTATTCATTATTACAGAAATGTCTGTTCTTTGATGATAAACTTATTCTTGTTTTCACTACAGAGCAGAAACTAATCGCAAAGTCATTTCCATGTTAAAACGTTTCTACCAATGACTCTCCCAAAAACTAATTATATAGTATTTCCAATCAGCTCACTTTCACCTCTCTCAATAGCTTATCCCTCTAAGTAGACCTATGAACTATGAATTAAGACAAACAATTTAAAACTACAATGAGTCTCAAAGAAAGCAAGAATTAACAGTCAGTATCTTTTAGTTACTGAAAAATGGTCCAAGGACAGTAACTTTAAAAAGGGGGAAATGGAAATATCAGAATAATATTGTTTTTGGGTGGGACTAGAACTTGCAGGCTCTTCAAGAAGATACTGAAACACATGCATAACTGTGAGCATGTCAGTAGTCCTTACTGAAGTTAATAGGACTGCTCTCATGCAGCAAGTTATGCATGTGCTTGAGTACTTTTACACAATGGAGGCCTAGGAGAATTACAAAGATCAAAACCAACGTACATGTAGGAAAAACTGTCCAAATTACAAAAAACACACCTGCATTAGTTCCTCCTTGGAAAAAAAGGGAGGGGAAGCTATGCTTTAATATTTCCAAACCACTTAAAGACAATTTGATGCCCCAATTGCACATTTGCTAAAGTTTAATGACATGGAATGGAATGGAATGGAATCAAAGCAATAAAATTTAAATCAGCTTAAGGAAACTTAAGTCATGGGCTATTTCATCCAAATAACCGTAAACTGAGCAGGATCCAAACCCACCTAGAACATAAAGGGTAGTTTGGAAGCACTGCTGAAGATGGACTTTCACACTTAGTCAAATACAACAAAGCTATTATATAACAAGTAGCCAACTGTTTTGCAGATTTTTCTCCCAATATTTGGTCCTCAAATTCTTTGTGTTAAAACAAGATTAATCTCCTCCTGATGGTACTTTCTACAACTTAATTGTAGATGGTTAGGATCCAATGCCAACACTATTCAATTTCACAATGGTTACATGTAACTGTTTTTGGTTCATCTTGTAATAGTTTGGCGAGCCATATCAGAAGAGGCTAAAAAACATATTACTATCAGGTTAAAAAGAAATTCTGTAACCTAAGCTAAGGCAATACTTTATTAAGCTTGGATAAAGTTTTCAACAGCACGTAAGTCACACGGACTTTCAATTCATTATTTTTTTTTTTAAAAAAAAGGTCCCTAACCCATGAAGGACAGCCCAGAGATGTTAGAGAATAACTGCAAGTTTACAAACTGCTCTGCTGTTGCGGTACGGATTGGGTCTTCATCAGGGATGGGTTAACACATTTTGTCTAAATCAGCGCCAACTAAAATACCCTGGGTTCAAAAGCATGACTTTCACTCAGATGTTAGCAGGTGCAAGTTCTGACTATACAAGAGAGACTGGAGAAAAGGGGAGTGAGAGGGGAGTAAAAATAGGATGAAAAATGAGCAGAGAGGTGGGATGAAAAACCAATACAGAGACACAGAGGAAAGGAGTAAAGAGGGGAAAAGGAAAAAAAAAACAAGTTATAGGGGCTCTCACTTGTGCAAATCTCATTTTTAATGGAAATTTTACTCTCTCTGAGATGTAGCATAGGCTTCCCTACAAGCAGTAAAACATGCTTTTTATAAACATTGAATCATCAAAACATTAACTAACTTACAGGAGAAAAGATAATGAACTCAGTCTCCCCCAAAAAACAGAACTTTGAAAGGATCACAAGAACTCCAAATCCAAGAGTTGGGCCACCAATAGCTCTAATCCTCCATCTGGGGATATTTACAACCATTCTATAGCAGTGCATTATGTTTCTCCTAGTCTGAACCAACAGCAGCAGAGAAAGCAGTAGAAAGCTCTATTTGTATCCATTTATCATAAAATAATATAAGGCAGGGAAAGAACTATCAAAATAAAGAATATTTGGTTCAGGTTAAAATAATATTTAAGTTTAACTCAGGATAACAGTTCATCTTTCCGTTTTTGAGTTACTGAATTTGTCATTTCTTTTTTGTACATTTTGAAAAAAAAGAAAATCAAAATATATACCATAAAGTTCAGGATCCAGGATTGGGCCACTACCTGAACAGGAAAAAGAGAACAGAAAGAGTTTGTAAATATCTTGCAAATGTGCATGAAGAGTAATAGTTTTTAGGAATTCTGTTCAGAGCTAAAAGGTTATTAGCCATAGCAATGATATTATATAATATCAATTGTCCACAAATTCAAATAATCAAAATACATTGTACAGGCTTTTTATTCAATTACATTTTTAATTATTTTCAGAGACATGCAAAATATCAACATTTGCTTCATATGAAAGATCTGATTGACACCTAGCGCTAACTTGAGTTCTGGCAAAGACAGTTATGGTTCCAGACTGGGCCAAATTGTGCTCTGTTACACGGGTGTAAATCTGAAATAACTACAGTATGTACTATTGCTAAAATCAATGGCAAAACTGTAGTTGATATTAATGGGACCAGAATTGGTCTGTTAACTTCAATGGGAGGGGCAATGACTTGGGCCAGGGTGTATTTGGCCTTGTAATCTATATAGTAAGATTCCAGAATTGTCACTTTCTCCAGATCTTACTCTCAAGCCTAGAACGTCCATTAATCAGTGTGAAGCGATGGAACCAGCTACAAGCATAGTTGAGAACTTTTTTGGTTCAGAATATCACCAGGTTCAACCACCAGTGATATCTGCGGTCTGTTACTGTCCAGTTTTTAAGTTCTCAGCCATTTTTGGCTTGTGTACACCTTACAAATTATACCCATATGACAGCACGGCCTTTCACCTAGTTCTTAACTTAAATCACTATGAGGAAAAACTCCTTTAGAATTGTGATATTGTCAGCTGGCAGCGTATCACAAAAGAATAAGGGTCAAAGTCACTAATAGACTAAGCAGCACAACTTCATTAACTCTACTTGGAATTGCACTGCTAAGGATCCAATTTCATAGCTGATCCCACAGGCAGAACTCTCATTGAAGAGAATGAGAGTCCCACGTGCAGGCCAACTAGATAATCAAGTCCTTAGCCAACTAAAATGGACAAAACGAATCTACATTTTCCAATATACAGTTCTGATGTCGTTTTGTACCCGTTTCTTACTACTGCATATATCTGGGCATGATCCTGCAAATCTTCAGTGCACAGAACTCCTTCTGTTCATATTATAGCATCAATCTATTTCCACTTGGAAAGGTTTTTTTTTTTTTTATTATACACTATCTTTCAAGATGCCCATTTATACTTATCTGATGTTTTCTATTGTATTGTGTAAGTCCGATACAGTAATCTCCTAATTACGTTTTCTCTATATTTACTGTTTGTTCTACATTTAATTAAAATTTTAATTAAATTAAATAAATTTAGTTAAAACATATTTAAACCCTTTAAGTAGGAAGAACAAACTCAGTGGGCATGATTCTGCTCGGATTTACACCATTGTACTTCAGGAGTAACTCCACAGCAGTAGAGAGTTACACTGGTACAAAGCCATCATAAATTAGGATAGGAACATAGTTAATTGATGCTTCTTTTCTTATGCTAAATGCTTGGGAATCTGTGGTGAGAAGTAGGACAGTAGGAGCTGCAAAACATCTACAGAATGCAACAGAGTATCAGGCTCAATTTTTAAAATGCCTTTGCAGACATTTTAATGCTTAGAGAGTTATAATGCAGATTAAGGTGCCCCCATCAGAATGGCCCCTCCAGCTGTAGAAACAAACATCAGGTGCAATGAGCATTTGTTATCTAACCTCAAGCTACTTCTGATGTGGCTTCTCTCTTTGAAAATCTTCATCGATACAATTTTTTCCCCCAATATAAAACATTTGAATTATGTGAAAAAATTCTCAGGAGTACACTGGCAATTGTATATGTTTGCTATTCACAATCTGAAGGAAACAAAGTATTTGGGCTAACTCATGAGCTCAATAACCTCAATGGCAAAACTTCCATTAGATGTCAGTGGGACTAGGATTTGGCCCTCAGAATTAAATTAACTCCTGGTCTAACTAGGTAGCATTAGAGAAAGGATTAATTTAACCCATTAGATCACAGATTAAATAAAGACTTAATCCTTGCCTGTGAGGTAAAGGCTAGGAAGTAACATATTCCATTCAGTTACCTTTTATACTCACTAAAGCTTTCATCTGAAAACCCAAAAGTTCAGGGAAAGTCACATTTCTGTCTAGCTATCCCCTTCATAAAACTATGATAACAGCTATTATTTTGATATTTCCATTTTTAAGTTATTGTCCTTGGACTGTTTTTCAGTAGCTAAAATATACTGTCAATCCTTTATTATTTGTTTTAGTTATTCCAAGTTATTCCCAGTTAGTGGGATGAGCCAATGAAAGAGGTGAAAATGAGCTGACTGGACTGTATAATTTTTGGGAGAGTCACTGGTGCTTTAACATGGAAATGACATCAGGACTAGTTCCTGCTCGGTGACTGGATTTTTCATGGAATCATCTTCAGACACTTCTGTCTGTGGACGTGGGGTATCTTCTGAAATTAAGAGCTAAAGATGTTTTCTCCTCCTTGAAAAGGATTTTTCAGACTCTTATGTTCATCTGGAAGCAAACTGAACATTTGCTCTTTAGATTGTCAGGGGGGGGGAGGCAAAGCTAGCTATGAAGTTTCCCAGATAATGGTGCCTTAGGCTGCCCTGATCCTGCAACGAAGAGGTTCAGATTATAAAATCCTCAGAGAAGTGACTGTCCTTGCATGTTTGGAAAGTGCCCAGAACACAGCAAGTGCTACCATAAATAAATAGTCATAAAAATAACTTGATGAAGAATTCAACTGAGAAACTACATGATATAGTGGCCTTTTGAGATTATGTGACTTTTTAGGCAACCCTTTCCTGGAAGCATTACTATGGGACACTCCCTCGCTATTCTAGAACAAACAAAATGTGTTTCAGATAATGTTACCTCCAGTTAGGATGGCACCTATCTATCTATCTTGGCAAGTAATAAATAAGGAAACTTACGTTAAGCAGCTGAACTAATGACCTTGAATTAGGGTGACCAGATGTCCTGATTTTATAGGGACAGTCCCGATTTTTGGGTCTTTTTCTTATATAGGCTCCTATTACGCCCCCCACCCCATCTCGATTTTTCACACTTGCTGTCTGGTCATCCTACCCTGAACCAACACCTCCTACTTAAATATCACCTCAAATATAGGGATAGTTGGTGGTTCAGAGCTGTATGAGTTTGAATGGCATTGATCCATCAAGCTGGATACATACACATCATAAGATACATTCTGTAGGCAGAGAAGGGTTCAGACGGATTTCTGCTAACTTGCTCACACAAAGATATCTGTGATATATATAGATAGCTATAGATATGAGGCCAGGAACCAAAGCTCCAGATCACATAAATTGGCCCTTACTATTTAAAACAAAGGTTCTAGTGAAATATGTGGTTCACAGTGATAATTGTGATACCATTAACGTGCTCCAAGTACAAATTAGCTCTCTACCTTTATGCCTGCATTGTCAGGCAAGTATCACATGAGACTGTCTGTTCTGCAAAGGGCACAACGTAGGCTGAGAAATTCTTGGAATGGATCTTATCTGCATCATGACTGATGCAAGTTTTAAGGTAGAGTATTATGTTGATGATCTCATGCTTGAAAGCGCTTGATGCTTCATTTTTATTTAGTTTAATCATTCATTTTAATTTCTATAGTTTATGGGTAGGGTTTTTTTTTATTTGTCTTTGTTTTTAGCTTCAGCACATTTGCCCATAAGTGATGTCAGAGTCACAGAATCAGTTCAAAGCTTGATGAAGATACCTTACCCCATTAAACATCAGGGCTGGCATTTAATTTCTATCATGCAGGCATGGAAATGAACATAATGCCTGGGTGTGGGCCTATCTTCATGCTTCATTGTACAGTATGTTGGACAGACAATGAAACTGCAGAGTAACGATATAACTGAACAAAAGCCTTTTAAGGGCTCCAAAACTTGTGGTTGTGCTTTAGATAGCAACAATTAAATCTGAGTGAAACATAAGGAGATTCTATTTTTTACCTTTGACTTTATTTCAGCTTCCAGGGCAGAAGAGCTGGGAGTGTAAAAAGGAGGAACCCAGATCAACTCTGTAGGACCTGCTAAAGCCCAGTGTCACAAATAGCATTCTGTAAAAATCTCATAAAGAAAAACTTTTGGGGAGTCTGCCTGGGTAGATGGCTTCTTCCAGTTAAATTTTAAGACTGGTTTGTAGCCACATATTGCATATGTAGTGATTTTTAAGATAGGCACATCCTATCTGTGCTTATGATAGTCTCTTCTACAATGTATTTATGAAACTTAGTTTCCTCAGAGAATGGGGTTATGCATACAGAACACAACATGGATTGTCTCTGAGATTTACAATTTAATTATGAATTAAAAACTGAAGGAATAAACAAACACTGTCTGTATAAATGGAAGGATATGTTAAAGTCTGATTTATAATTAAAAATGCCACTACTGGGAAAGGTGGTTTACATTTTTAACCTGAAGGAGAAAATGTGCCAATAAAAAGGCATTTTGTTCAAAGAAAAAATTCACTTTAAGTTCAAAGTGGCCTTGTTAAACTTATTGGGAAAACGGTTTATTCTTCTAAGCGAATGCAGCCAAGTTAATATCACTTTCCATTTTAAACAGTATGTAGGTAAAGTGGACTGTTTTATTGAATTGTTATAATGCACTTTTGGAAGCTGCCAGTAGCTGAAACCATGGTCTGTTCCTGTAACAGTTTTATTAAGGAAAGGACTCTAGGGGGAAAAGGGAGGAGAGAAGCTTCTAAGAGCAGCAGGAGTAACTAGAGCTCTCTCTGTCAGTTCTGTACCTACTCCTACTCAAGCCTGGAAGAGAACAGTCACACACCTCATTGTTTCGGTTAAAACAGCTTGCTAGAAGTACTGAATATGGCATGTATTTTCACTAGTGGTAACTTGTAATGAAGGTGAAAGAATGAAAATCTGGAAGACTAACTAGCCAGCTCCTCCATCACTGTGAAATATTACATAGGACTGGACATCACTATTTCAACTGACATGTTATTGCTACTAATGTTTAGGGGAAATGAAATGTACACTACTGCCCAGATTTTCTGACACAAATGTGCAGTTTCTTGCACAAAAATGCATGCACATTTGCACACCTGATTCCCCTTTGCAATCAGCATAAGTTTTCATACCAATGGGCAGATAGTTGCCTGCCATTTAGCCACACAATTACTGTACATGTATTTTTGAAGATCTGGGAATAAAGCATCAAACCAAGGCAAACAACACATTTTGGGTAATCCCTGCAGTTTATTGGGTACCTCTCATATCCTGACTCTGCCAAGGATGCAATAAAGAGGATTGATACACAGTGGTTATCAACCCATTTATAATTGTGGGCCACATATGTAGCTCTCTGTATGTTATGTGGCCTGCATCCATACATACTACTTGTATAGCCCTGAGGATGTCACATGGGCTGAAACTGTGTGCTGACTGGGCCCCAAGCAGCTACCGGGCACAGAACCACTGATATGGAGTATAGCAAACCACACATAAATGTCCCTCCTGCCTCTTGGTTATTTATTTTCTCTCTTGCTCCCTCTAGTGTCCTAAAGAATGTAGTGGCATCTACATGCGGTACTGCACTGCAGAATTTTCATTAATCTTCTGTTTTCTCTAGACACTTGTACATGGTCTTATGGATACACAGCTTAGGCCTAGTCCTTCCTAAAGGAGAGCACCCTCGATTCATATCAAACTGGCACTCAACATTTGCGGGATCAGAACATATATGTTGGAAAAAATACTTCAGAAAAATAATTTTAAAAAAATTTTGTCTGGGCATGGAGAAAAGACACAGAGCGGGATTCACGAAAGAGAGTTACTATGGGGCTCACTTCATAAAATCTAATTGAAAAACAAAATTCTTAAATGCAAGGAGATTTTTTTTTAAGAAGCAATTATCTGTAAACATCTACAACAAATTATTTTAAGAGAAAACTTTACGAGAAAAATAAACTGGCCCGCAGTACTAACTCTACATAATCATCAAGATGCCATTGCTAATATAGTAAAGAAAACTCACCATCTCCAGGCATTGACATGAAATGAGCATCAACCCTTTTTTCATCTTCTCCATACTCATTCTTCGCCAGTAAGGTATAAGCACCATTGTTCAAATGGGTAGGGTTGTCCAACTGAAGGCAGCCATGGTATTCACTTTGATTGCTAACATGTATTTTAGTACAGATGTATTCAGACTCATTCAGTATAGCCCCTTCATAGAACCACTGCAATGAGGGTTTGGGGTTCCCTTTCACAGTGAATGGAATGCACCAGTGGTGGTCCGGGGTTGGAGGTTCAATAAATGTGATATTTGGTGCAACTATATTGAAAAGAAGAGTGAATAACATCAGAATATCCTAAACACATTTTTGCCCTCAAATTCTTGAGGGCATTTTTTAAAATCATTAAAGCTAATAAATTGGAAGCTTTGGAAACTACAGCCTTGCGCTTATGAGTGCAGATATTCATAAAGGAAGCCATCAGCTGTGTGTGTGAACTGAATTCAGACATGAAATGGACAATACCTCAATAAAGATTCTTTAAAATGAGATGTGTGAACTGGTTCCAATAAAACAAGAACCAACTTTAATAAATCATGCAGGTTCAGTGAAGGGTTTTTTTATTACTCCCTGTTTTTAACCAAAACACTTAAGTACTATTTTAAAAAGGGTATTTAACAGTTGGCCAGAATCAAGTGTACTGGAAATATATTCAGATAGGCATGAAAACTTTTAGATGATTTTCATCATAGAACCATGGACCAGACTTATTAGTTCATTCACTGAATTCCCCTGCTACTGCAGGATCATTTCCTATAGTAATTTTCTAGTACTTTGTCCAGTCCAGTTTTAAATTGTTATGGGCTTCTACTATTTCCCCTGGGAGGCTATTCCACAGCCTTGTACATTATCTCACTGTCAGGAAGTTTTCCTTGATATTCAGACTGAATTTTCCTGTGTTAATTGCATCTAATTACATCTAGTTATATGCCTTTGTACCAATCATATTGGTGCCAATCCAAGATTCCGTGTTTACACCATTCCAGTATTCGTAGCATATATTCTTTCCCTTAGCTATTTCATACCCAATTTGAAGTATGAAATCATAAGGAGTTAATCTATAGCTACTTCTCTAACAAAGATTTTTCTCTAATAAGCATGCTCATTTTTAATAAAATGTGGGGGTGATCTGAACGATCAATATCTGAAGCTTGTAAAAACAGCCTACTTAATTCACTTAAGAAAGATTCATATGAGAGCTTAGAGTTAAGGGGTCAATGTTTTATCCCCTGTGCCTATCCTCTTCTCCTGGACTTGACAGATAAGTAGATTATTTCAAGGCCAAGGACAAACTAATATACGCCTGGGAAAACTAATGTTACAAGCTGATCTTTTTTTAATTTAAAACAAAAAATGTATCAGGGTTATTGCCTTAGATGAAAAGTTTTAAAATCTCAAATTATTAATAACAATTTGACCTCCATCTTTGATGTGTGGGTATTTTTATATGTATACAAAATACACATGCGCCCTTTTCACTTTTACACTGCCATTTGAACATTTTGGACTTCAGAAATTTACTTTTGGGAGTTCAAACTGGAAGTTGATAGGCAGCTATGAGAGCACAGATATGTAAGGGTGCTCCGAGCAAAGTAATAAAGGGACAATACTACACAACTGCTGGTTGTGCTGTTCCTCAGCATTAAAGGCAATGCTGTTGAAACAAGAATATCACCTAAACATATGAACACCTTGCATGCCCACCAGAAATATATACCCCAAATATTTTGTGCTGATGTAGTTTAGACAGCAGCTGAAATTGTATGCAAGCCTGTTTACGTACAGAACACCACAAGGTCAGCAGAAGCTTGGTCTTCTCCGACAATATTTTCTACTATACATGAAATCCGTATTCCACTGTCCTTAGATGAAACATTCCTTATGGTTAGGGAAGCAGGACTCTTACTTGTATTACTCTACAAACGAGAAGAAAAAGTATTTGGCTTGAACAGAGTGTAGAATAGGGGTCTCAAACTCAAATGACCATGAGAGCCACATGAGGATTAGTACATTGGCCCGAGGGCCACACCACTGACCACGCCCCCACTCCACCCCTTCCATGAGGTCCTGCCCCACCTCTTGCCACCCCTTCCCTGCCCCATTCCAACCCCTTCCCCGAAATCCGCACCCCAACTCTGCCCCCTCTCTGCCCCCAGGGGGTGCAGGGTGCAGCAGGGGACTCAGGGCAGGGGGGGCGGGGTGGGCAGGAGGCTCAAGTGTAGGATGGGTGCGGCAGAGGGCTTAGGGCAGGGGGTCAGGGTGCGGCAGGGGGCGCAGGGCAGGGGGTTCGGCTGCAGGAACGGTTCGGGGGCGGGTCCGGCCCGGTGCGCACCAGGGGCAGGGCAGGCTCCCTGCCTGCCTGCCTGCCCTGCCCCTGCGCCAGTCCGGGAAGCGACAGGGGGTACAGGGGTCTGTGTGTTGCCCTGGCCGCTCCTCCAAGTACCTCCCCTGAAGCTCCCATTGGCCGGGAACAGGGAACCTCGGCCAATGGGAGCTTCGGGGGAGGTACCTGGAGGAGCAGCCAGGGCAACACACAGACCCCCCCTCCCCCAGGTCCCGGCCGCTTCCCAGAGCGGCGCGGGGGCAAGGCAGGCAGGTGGGGAGCCTGCCCTGCCCCCGGTGCGCACCAGGCCAGAGCCGCTCTTGGTAAACGCTGGGGGGGGGCGGGGGTGTGTGTGCAGGGAGCTGGCAGGCTGCAGAAAATAACCTCGCAGGCCGCCGTGTGTTTGAGACCTCTGGTGTCTTTCAGTTACCCTGCCTCTTAACCTTATTGCTAGAAAACTGAGTGTTATATTTGCACAACATTTTATTCAACGTTGTAAATCAATGTACTGGGCCTGATTCTGGGGGCCTGTGTTGATTTACACACATATAATGCCACTAAGGAAGATGCTGATACATGCCTTCCTTTGACTTCAATGAGATCACATCAGGAATAAATCAGGCCGGTTGAGTTATACCCCTCAGTGGTACTAGTTGAAGGAAAAAGGGAATATTTCTACTCTGTGCACTGCACAACCTCAATTACTCAAACATTTCAAAACATCCCAAACTTTCAGATAACTAAGGGTGAAAGCCAGAACCCCAAGTGCAGATGTCGAAGTCAACCACTTGGCTCCTCTATTCCCTGTCCTGTAATATCCAGTCCCTCCCTTCATCTGCCCTCCTTCCCTTGCTCCATATGGCCATAGTCTACAATCCTCCCAGCTCCCACTCCCTCACTTTGATGGCTGGCTCACCTTCCCTCTCTCCAGTCCCCTACCATGGCTCTGGATAACTTCTGTTTCCACGTTGAAAAGGCTGATTCCACTGCCTCTGACTTTCTTTTGTTAACTACTTCATGAAATTTTTAACTTTGGACTCACTTTCCCATTCACTGCCTTATTAAACCCCTAGGCCTGGAGCCAGATCCTGGCTTCAGTGGAGCATTGCACATCTACCCCAGCTGAAGATCCGGCCCCTGATCTTTTCCAGTCTCTCTCTCTCTCTCTCTAATTCCTGATCACCACTTGTTTTTCTTCAAATTTATTACTTCTTATCTCCTTTCTTCCACCTCATCATTTACTCCTAAGATTCATCTCTGCTCTTATTTTCTCTTAATCTTGCTCTCTCTCCTCCTATACTCCTCCCAACCAATGCTTTACTGTTACCTCACTCTGGGCTTTACACCTTTACTCACGCTGTGGGCTCAGCATGCTCTCTCACACCTTGACTACCAAGTTCCCTCTCTCCTCCCTCCACTCTCTCTTGAAAGCCTCTTCCTATCTTGAATCTTTTCTACAGTAAGCTGGTCTCTTCCACCACCTGAACTAAAGCCCATGATTTGTCTTACGCGTGCTTGAGCACAGGCAGATAGAAAAAAAAACCCACAGTTATTGCCTCAGTGTTTTGTAAAGCACTGTGTACATTTACAGCACTAAATAAATCATAAAAATCACCATATGCGCTGCAAAATTAAAGTACATTGTGACGAAGTACAAGTAAACTGGCACTCTTAAAACAAAAAAGTTTTGCTTCTGATTTCTTAAATTGGTTTCTTAAAATGACCTCTGGTTTGTGTCTCTGGTCTTTAATTTCATGTTAAATATAAAGGAACCTTTTTTAAAAAAATTAATAAATGAACAGCTAGGACTATTGCTTTAACATCTTAACAACATCCTTTGCTGGGATTCTTCTTAATATGCACTTAAGTGCTGAGCCTGCAATTGAATCTCTACTAAAGGGCTCCAGCACCTGTAGAACCCAATGACTTCAATGATACTCCCTGAAGTATAAGGATCCGCCCATGAGTGTCACATTTCAAGATCAGGACCTTAAGAGACTGACTTTTTTACAACACATAGCACAATGGGGCTACAGTAATACAAATAATAAAAGTTAATAAGGGTGAAATCCTAGCTTCATTGAAATCAACAGCAAAACTGTTGACTTCAGTGGAGTCAGGATTTCACCCCAAAGCTAGCAATGTAGCTTTACTCTACCCGTGAGCAGCCCCATTGAAGTAATTGGTGCTCAGCAAGTTCAAGGGGGGCATAGATCAACATTCATATTGCACTCCCCATTAATACCTGGCCCGGGCCCAGGAAGCTAATGATCCAACCAGCAGACCAAATTCGGTGACGAATCCTGGTCATATGCCACATGAGACACATTGCATGTACGCTAAGAAGAAGCAAGTTCAACAGTCCATTCATGGGGATTCAACTGCAGGATCGGGACCTAAGTGCACAGTTAAGAAAACTCCAGTGGCAGTCAATTGGACTATATGCATAAAATGAAGCACATCGGTTGCTGTTTGCAGGATCAGAGCCATTTTCTGGGATCTTTCTTTATAGGAGAGGAAGGAAAGAAGACAGACAGAAGTAGCAGCAGGAGGAGAGCAGAGAACCAGAAACAGACACATGAGGGAGAGGAGAAAAGGAAAACAGAAGAACAAAATATAGAACAGCAGGGATAGTGGTGAACAGTAAAGGAGTTTAAGAAGGTACTCTGTTATACTACTGATGAGACTAGTGTTATTCCATAGGTAAGGCTGAAGCTAGCCTTCCATTACAAGGCACTCAAATTTCACAGGCATAAAATTATGCCAAGATAGAATTTTTCTGGAAAGTTTGAAGTAAATTGAAAAAGGCACTTTGAAGATAGGAGAGTTTTTAAAAAATGAGGTGATTTCACTTCTTGAGCATTATCCTACATTTGTTCTGGTGCATAACTCAAAAAAAAAAAAAAAAAAGGCTTAGCAGAGATTCCCCCAGTTGTTTTAATCTGTTGGCTTTGGTGAGGACTGGTGCATTTGGCTAGTTTCAGGCAGGTTATTTTAGCTATTAAATTCAGTTTTTCTGTACTTTACAGACCCCCTGTGTTCTTAAATCTGCACAACCCCTAAGGAGATGCTATACATTTTACACAGGTCCATGTATATGACCACAATGGAGGAAGTAACAAAGGGTTGAAGAACATGGAAGTGGGGGGCCATCTAGGGAAGTAGAAAGAGCCCATGAACAGCTTGCAAGCTCCTCCTATCACCAAGGAATTTGTAAACATTTTTAAACATCCAAGGCAATCTCTGGGAAAGAAGGACACAAGGTTGTAACTTATCTAGGAATTACTTACTGGAGGAGGGAAAAAGACATTGTGAGAGGGGAGAGAGGGAGACAGAACCAGCTATGCCAGCCTAACCTTCCTGAGAATACCCTCTAGGGAAATCACTAGCTGTGCTCATAGACCGGGGCAAACTACAGCCCACAGGCCAGATCGGGCCCACAAACCGTTTTAAGCAGTGCATGAGCTCCTGCTCTGGAACTGGGTGGGGGCCGCACCACGCGACTCGGCCCCACTCTGGCTGGGGCGCTGGGTCGGGGGCCGCACTACGCGGCTCCCAGAAGCCGCAGCATGGCCCCACTCTGGCTCCTACATGCTCCAATGGCCCCCTCCAGCACTACAATGCGAGCTGCAGGGGCAGTGCCTGTGGAAGGGCAGTGTGCTGAGCCGCCTGGCCGCGCTTCCACATAGAAGCCAGAGAAGGGACATGCCACTGCTTCCAGGAGCAGCTTGAGGTAAGCGCCACTCACAGCCTGCACCCCTGAGCCTCTCTCAAAGCCCCAACCCTCTGCCCCAGCCCTGATCCCCCTCCCACTCTCCAAACCCCTCGCACCCTCCTGCACCCCAAACCTCTCATCCACAAGCTCCACCCCAGAGCCCACACCCCAGCCAGAACCCACAACCCTGCTCCAGCCCTGATCCCCTTCCCACCCTCCGAACCCCTCGGTCCCAGCCCAGAGCCCCTCCTACCCCTCAAACTCCTCATCTCCAACCCCACTCCAGAGCCCACACCCCCAACCAGAGCCCTCACACACTCCCACACCCCAACCCCAATTTTGTGAGCATTCATGGCCCGCCATACAATTTCTATTCCCCGATGTGCCTCTCGAACCAAAAAGTTTGCCCACCCCTGTCATAGACAATCTCTGTTCCCTTTGCACTGCAAGACAGGATCTGAAGACCAGGATCTAACCCTTTGTGTCTAGGGCCATGCACCTCTTAAGGGCCAAAAAAAATAATTTAGGCAGTTTGTACCCCAAGGTAGCAGATGACCCCACTTAAAGCCAAAATCATGAACTCCAGAGCACAATGTAAATAAAGCGGATTTAAGCTGTCAGCAGGAATAGGCTGCACACTCGTTAAAGTCCTTATCAATATCTCCTTCATCAGAAGGAGATGCATTGATTAAATCCTATCTTATGCACAATATGAAACATGGACACAGGAGGGTAGGGACATGAGGAACAGTCAGTTATTTGGGTGACCTTGGATAAGCAAGTCCATACTTAATTGGTTTTCACTATTTCTTATAGTATAAAGTTAACATTGACTTTTATGGCTTACACTTGGTTTTTGTTGTTTTATAGAAAAAAAACCAAACAAACAAGATATAATTCATATTTATAACACAACCCTGGTATAATCACATATTTATGGCCTGTGAATAGTAAATTTACACACACAGCTTTTATCATCAGACTGTCATTTTCTATATAATGAGTGTTGTGACAATCAAAACTCACCTGACCTTCACTGTCCTGATTCATTTTTGATAGATAGATAATAAGACATAAAATATCATATTGCCTCTATATAAATCCATGGTATGCCCACATCTTGAAAACTACATGCAGATGTAATATTCGAGAAAATATATATTGGAATTGGAAAAGGTTCAGAAAAGGGCAACAAAAATTATTAGGGCTATGGAACAGCTTCCATCTGAGGAGAGATCAATAAGACAGACTTTTCAGCTTGGAAAAAGAGACCACTAAGGGGGGATATGTTAGAGGTCTATAAAATCATGACTGGTGTGGAGAAAGTAAATAAGGAAGTGTTATTTACTCCTTCTCATAAACACAAGAACTAAGGGTCACCAAATGTAATTAATAGGCAGCAGATTTAAAAGAAACAAAAGGAAATATTTCTTCACACAACGCACAGCCACCCTGTGAAACTCTTTGCCAGAGGATGTTGTGAAGGCTAAGACTGTAACAGGGTTCAAAAAAGAACTAGATAAATTAATGGAGGATAGGTCCATCAATGGTTATTAGCCAGGATGGGCAGGGATGGTGCCCCAAGCCTCTATTTGCTGGAAGTTAGGAATGGGTGATTGGGGATGGATCACTTGGTGATTACCTTTTCTGTTCATTCCCTCTGGGGCACCTGGCATTGGCCACTGTCAGAAGACAGGATACTGAGCTAGATGGACCTTTGGTCTGACCCAGTACAGCTGTTCTTATGTTACCAGGACCCTTCCATAGAACCGTAGCGCTATCAATTATAACTGGAGTCACAGAAACTTAAATGAAAGCCACTTTCTCAAAGAAAGAAATGTTTGTCCCAGAACCATTGTCGATGAAGAATACCTGAGGGAAAAATGCAAGGTAAACAAATTTGCCATTTTGTATTTTGATTATGAAAAATAATAAGCTTAAGACCAGCCACACAACATTCTTCAGCAGGTATATCCTGGATAGCCAGCTTTTTCTAAGTAAAACTTACCTCATGTTTTGAAACAAGATTAGCAACAACCCAGGATACATTGGGAGATGGCACCCCAGTAGCTTCGCAGTACAGTGTGGTGCTCCTTCCTTCCACAACAGTGAGGTTATAGACACTCAAGTTTGCTGAGGGCAAGCCTGTGACACAAGCAAAAGAATATATAAGTGTTTGTGTTTGTCATAGAGATAGGGTAGATATTCAAATGAGCTGTTCAACTCTTTGACAACAGTCTGTATATAATCGAAAACTCTGCTTACTCAGCTAATCAGAGATTCATTGGGGGTAGATGCTATTTGGTCAAAAAATGCAAAGAGCACATTTGGTACTATGTAAGTGAAGTCCTTAAGTGGCGGTAGGAGTGACTGTGTGTGTTTTCTCCACTCTACCAATCCACCTCCCTAGAAAATTTTAGTTTATTTTCAAGTGCCTTAAGATATTGAAGTGGGAATCATTTTCAAAAGGTAGAAAGGATATTCAGATGCCTAACTCCAATTGTGCCTTTGAAAATCTCACCTTCATTCTTGAGGGAAAATAAGATACAACTTACTTTTCTCATTTGTAGTGGTTGCAATAAAAATCTTCATTTTCCTTTTGCCTAATTAACACTGTGGTGGTATTCCTAGTGTACCCTGAGCTATATATACACTAAAGGGAAAAATCTAGCCCATGCCATCATGCAGGGTCAGGGGAAAGAGTCCCACAAACAATACAATCGGAGTGGCTCCAGTCCACAAAGAGGTCACACACAAGTGAAACCCAGATCTTCAGAGACAAACTGAGTAGGAGGGGCAGGGGCTATGGGCATGTCAAGGGAAGGAAGGGCCAGAGCAGCTCAAACTGTCCAAATCCTCTGCTCCTCAACTGTTTCAGGGCCATTTCTAAGGTACTTCAGCCACAGGACTGAACTAGCTTCAGGGAAACAGCTACTCTGTGTCATTTGCTAGGAAGCTGCTCTACCTTTTGTCTGGATCAGTCCTGACCCAAAGAATAAGGGAGCTGGAACCTGATGCTTCATCCCTTTCACCTGCATTGAGTGGTGCTCTGGTGTAGGAGAGAATCTAGCTCCACAAACCTATTATGGAGGAGGTTTTCAGAAGAGTTCAGCTTCCAGAAGCTCCCTTTTAGGCACCCAAATTAAGTGGTCAGGTTTTTGGTACAGCTCAACACCCAAAACAATGGCAACTGTCAGAACAATAGGAGTTGTCATGTTTTGAGGACTTTTGAAAACCCGAATGCTTCATTTAAGAGCATAAACTGGAGTAGGGCTCTTTTGAAAATATGGTCAGCAGCATATTAGGCCAAAAATCAACTTTTCTTCAGGTACGTGAGAAGTGTATTTTTTCTGTCCTTCAAAACTATATTTGTTTGCATTGAAAATAAGCAGTACGCTGAAAACACGGGAGTTTTGTTATGTGAGATTGTGCCATCATCCCCTATATAAAGATAACTTTAGCTTTGCCCTCACCACGATGCTCAGCTCAGCAGCAATCTTAGACATGTTTTGTTTGCTATTTATCTCAAATATCCCGCACAGCAAAAAACAGCTGTCCTAGCTATGTATTGTTTTGCAGCGAGATTTCTTTTTCCGCAACAAAGCTTCTATCTATATTTTTTTAATTAGGGTGGAGCAAATTCCGTCATGCACCTGCAGGTTTACAAGTTTAGCAAGGTGATTTTTTTTATTATTATTATAAAGCCCCATAGTAAGTCCCTTATATCGGATTTGTGTTAATTAGAGCACATTAATATGTTGGCCAAAAATTCAATAGAAACTTGAAATATCACTTGAAGTTTAATTAGTTCAATAAAAATGAAATGAAAAGTAGTAATAGCAAAGGCAGGACAAATCGTTTTCCAGGCACTGATTTCTTGCCTAATAAGATTTGAGATCATCAGGAGTATACAATAACTGCTTAGGCAATTCTGCTAGTGCTTTAAGTAGTACAGTAATATGATTCTGATTATAGGCATCATGGGTTTCTTCTATTATGCTCACTTTGTAAATCATACATTGAAGTTTATTGAAACAGAGCTGGATGGCTGTATGCCTTGATGCAGTAATCTGTTAGCGAAGGTGGCCATCTGCTTTTGCTTGCCATGACTTCAAACCTCAGCAGTGTCTGTCATCCAGCCAGGCAGGAAACTAAACTAAATCCTAAGGAACATTTAGATATTAATTATGTTGGATAGGGAACACGGAGGAGAAGTAATGAGATAATTTACCCCATGCAGCCACCCTCACACACCAGTTCTTAAAACTATTTGACTCCTGTGGTCATACCTGATTCTGGGAAAGAATTTTAGCCATCAAGGCATTATTGCCCAGCTTCTTCCTAGCAGTATCTTCTCTGGACAAGACCTGCCTGACATCTCTCATGCCAAATTAAAACTACTCAAAGTGTGTCGCTGTTTGAGTTCACAGAGCTTCTAAAACACACAGTTTCATATGAACCCTATCATATAAGCCCCCCCCCCAATCAAAAATCATTGTTGACCATCTATTGCACTACTTGGATTTCTATTAAAATTTCAAGATGTCTTCTAGTGGTGCTTTTTGATTGTTGAACTGGGTGTGGAGGACCAAGTAGCATTTTAGCTACTCGCTTACTAAAGCATGATGGCTGTGTGCTCTTTCTAACTTTGCTACTGCTGGCTGAATTTGTATTATTTTATATAAAAAAGTGTGGGGTGGCACCACTGTTACTATCATGTGCACTATAAAGAACTTGGGAATTGCCATACAGGATCAGTCCTGAGGTACATCTAGTCCAGTATCCTGTCCCTTACAGTGACTGATCAGACTCATGTTTCAGAGGAAGGTTAAAGAACCCACACTAAGCAAATCGGGGATCATCTTCCCCCAGATCTCATCCTGATCGCTAATAGAGCGAGATTGGTTTAAACCACGAAGCATGAGGTTTAATATCCCTTCCTAACTTCTTGTTAGTATTAATTATGATAATTCTGGATATTCATAATGTCCAATCTTATTTTGAATCTTGCTATATTCTCAGCCTCTACAACTGCCAGTAGCAACAAGTTCCACAGTTTAATTAAACATTATAAGAAAAAGTATTTCCTTTCATTAGTTCTGAATTTGCCACCTTTTAATTTAATTGAATATCCTCTTTTGGGGGGTTATGAGACAGGGATAACCGGAGTTCCTGATCTTTCTTCACTTGACCATTTGTTATTTTATACAGTTTTATCATGTCCCCTCTAATTAATCCCAACTATTCATACAAAATGATGGGGTCTAAATTAGGTGAGATCTTGGAGTCATTGTGGATAGTTCTCTGAAAACATCTACTCAGTGTGCAGTGGCAATCAAAAAAAAGCTAACGGAATGTTATGACCGATTAAGAAAGGGATAGATAAGACAGAAAATGTCATAATGCCACTTTATAAATTCATGGTACACCCACATCTTGAATACTGCATGCAGATCTGGAGGCCCCATCTCAAAAAAGATGTATTGAAATTGGAAAAGGTACAGAGGAGGGCAACTAAAATGATTAGGGCTATGGAACAGCTTCCATATGAGGAGAAATTTAAAAGATTGGGACTTTTCAGCATGGAAAAGAGACTATTAAGTGAGGATATGATAGAGGTGTATACAATCTTGACTGTGTGGAGAAAGAGAATAAGGAAATATTTATTTACTCCTTCACATAAGACAAGAACTAGGGGTCACCTAATGAAATTAATAGGCAGCAGATTTAAAACAAACAAAAGGAAGTACTTTGTCATACAACACACAGTCAACCTGTCAAAACTCTTTGCCAGGAGATGTTCTGAAGGCCAAAACTATAACGGAGTTCAAAAAAGAACTATGTAAGTTTATGGAGGATAGGTCCATCAATGGCTATTAGCCAAGATGGGCAGGGATGCAACACTGTGTGCTCTGAGTATCCCTAGCCTCTGTTCGCCGAAGCTAGGAGTAGACAACAAGGGATGGACCGCTCAATGATTGCCTGTTCTGTTCATTCCTTCTGAAGCACCTGGCATTGGCCACTGTCGGAAGACAGGATACTGGGCTAGAGGGACCACTGATCTGACCCAGTATGGCCATTCTTATGTTCCTTTCTAAGTTAAGCGCTCCCAATCTTTTCAACCTCTCTATGATTTTTTCCAGACCCTTGATCATTCTCTGAACCCCCTCTAATTCTGAAATATCCTTTTTTGAGATGAAGTGACCACTGTCACACACACACACACACACAGTATTCCAGATGAGGATGTACCATTGAGTAATATAATGGTATTATGTTTTTTCTATTGTTCATCACACCTTTCCTTATGTTTCCTGACATCTCATTTACTTTTGTGACCAGACTTGCACACTGAGCAGAGATTTTTATCCCTGTCCCTTTCCTGAGCTAATACAAGGTTCTAAAGTAACTGTAAGGTGCAGGAGTAGTGCAACTTTTTTCCTTTAATGTACATTTATAAACAATGAATTTTGTTTGCCATCATGTTGCCCATTCACCTAGTTTGGTTAAGTCTCTCTGACGTTCCCCACAATCCTCTCTGGTCACAACAAACAGAAGCCACCAAGGCTCTAAAATATCACAGAAAAGAGCCATAAAACTCACCTGAAAAGAAATAGTAAAAGTCTCGCTAGCTTAGGGTTTTGTATAGTGACTACCACTACAGCATCTAAGAACACAGAGAAATTTTCACTACTTTTGTAGTTTTGCTAATTGCCGATAGTAAAACATTACAGGAAGATAAAGAAAGGCAGATTAATACAAACAAGGCTCACTGATGGCAAAATGTTGAAAGTGCTCTATACTATATGATAATTTTTATTAAAATATGGGCCCTGATCCCAAAGACTCTTACACATGTGAGAAACGTAATGAATGTGAACAGACCCGTTGAGATCCATGGGATTATTCAGTTTCCTGAAGTTGCTCACATGCAAACATCTTCATCAGGGGTTGCTAAACATAAATTTTAAAATACAAAATGTAGAATAAAAAGTAAAAGTGGGATGTCTAAATTTTCACTGAATTAGCATAAAGTTACATCATCATAAACTTTTACTCAGAACTAAGCATGCCCTTTCACTGGTCTACATAGGTCTAATTTAATAGATTTCATTTAATAATTAAACTCATTAGTTTTTATTGAA